ATGTCAAAGTGTTTAAATATCGGGAGTTGGTTTAGTATTGTTTTGATAAGATAAACAGCATTCATATCTGTTACTAAAAATGTTTCTTCTAGATTTCAGCCTTTTCATAGCTCTTTTCTGACTGCACTCCAGTTTTAATGCACTTGAACAGGACCCCTGATCTGCATGGAATTTCTCAGAAAGCTCCCACCAAGCAGTGTGTTTTGCTACCCTTTCTCAGACACTGTTTACCAGCACTCAGCTCCTCATTCTGCTTTCCTGGCCCAGCATTTAAACATACTAAAATCCATTTTATCTTAACGGGAACACTTAAACCAGCGATGCAGATCAGCCTTATTAGCTAACACTGTCACTCTTTCTGTCTCAGCAGCAGTGATGCTGTAGCCTTTTCAGGTGCTCTTGGCACAGTCATAATAACAAGGGGCTTACTGTTCAGACAGCAAAACTACAGAGACTCATTCTTTTGAAAGACTCTAGTGTAGATGGGATTTCAACATGTGAAATCACAATCCTTATCCTGTCTTCCTGCAGAGAAATGGCTCAGAAACAACCCAACGCAGGGTATGTTCAGGTACCTAATGAAGAAAACATCCCTGCGACCACAGTCCCACCAAGCAACGCAACAAATGAATACCCTGGTGTTGATGAAACGGCAGCTTCTGGACCACCTGAAAATGATGTGAAGCAAGAAGCGGAAAAAGAAGAAATAGCCTAGAGTTTCAATATAGTTTTCCTTGTCAGCTTTGGACCCCAGTATACAAAAATTGCTGTCATTGAATTAACACAGAAGCACGACTAAAACTTAAATGGGCATTAGTATTGTGAACCGTAGGCAGGAGACTGAAAAGTGTCTGTTACACGTGCACTTTGTGAACAGCAGATCTGGCCTTTAAAGTTAACCAAATCTCATTTATTAACTAGTTATAACTATACCTAAATATAAATACAAAAAGACTATCATCCACATTTTTCCAACCTATTTTGCAAAACCAATTAGGAAATGGGCTGAAGCATTTGGTGAAGTAAGAGCTTTCCAGCCAACTGTCAGTAATGCTGTATGCGTCCACACAGTTCTGCAGCACAGCAGCCTTCTCCAGAAACAGCGTTGGCCAACCTCCTGTTTCCTGTGTACCATGAACAACCATCATGGCCAACACATTGCACTGTTTAAAGGATGTGATTTTGCAGGCCAGAAATAAAAAGAAGTTTCACCAATGCCATCAGAATGCAGAAGCAGACGTTGAGACCTGGAGCAATGAAATCTCACATCTAAATTCCACTTAAAAAAAAAAAAAAAGGCCCTGGAAACTTTTATCCTGTTGCTGCCTGATGTGGAATACATTTTGTTAACAGCGACCTTCTTGCCTTTGAGGTTCCCAAGGCACCAGCATCAGATTCCTCATGACATGCAGATACAGCTGATTTCAAAATTTAGAACTGAATACTGCATACTGTCCAACACAGTAATTTCAACTGCTTCCTCTGCCTGAGATGATTCAAATCTATTTCCAGGCAACTGCCCTACCCACTAAGCAAAAAACTCATGCTCCTTTCCCTCTGGTCTCTTTAGCCCAATAAAACTGACTATTTTCTATACGTGAGAGCATCAAGAGGTAAGTAGCGCACGCACACCACTAGCCAGCAGCTGAGTAAGGAGCACTCTGGAGGGAGAAAAAGGGAATTGAACCATATATATACACCCTGATCACTAGACAGCTCTTCTCTCTGGGCCTCATTTCTAGGGTTAAGCAAACTCAGTTCTTCAAAAGTGCAAAAATACCTACTTTCAGAACTGCTCAAGGACCAGTGGGCTCAGGTGAATACAGACAGAGTCCCAGCAGCTCCTTTCTGAGCTCCACGAGGCAGATATTCACCGACACAGGAGACACTGCTTTGAGCCTCATGCACTGTGGAAAAATATATCTGCCTCAGGGATCTGGCACTTTTTGGCACTTTGTCTTTTATAGGATCTAATGTAAATCCTTTGGTGACTGTTCCTAGCCTGTAAACATTAGTTATATGCAACTGTCATCTTTAAAATAGATAAAAGGATACATCTGTGCTAAAGTTTTCAGGTTTAGTCCCTACAGCTGTAAGTATGTTTTTCAAGAAAGAGACCACAAAAAAGAAAAAAAAAAAAAGGCAACATTTAAAGATGTCAGGCATGAGGTCCTAATTAAGATTAAGTTTGGATCATTAAGCATAACGGTACTCATTGCCCTATCTACAGAGTTTTCTGATTTTTAAATATCTGTGATATGTGCGTGTCCTAGTGTTCAGCCTCAGTTCAGAGCAATAGAGCATTTACAGTGTTCTTACAACACTGTTTTAGCTACAAACTGCGTGTGTAGGACTGCGAGGGTCAAACCCTCACTAATACCAACACTGCCATATTCCACCAGCGGATCCTTACACTCCTCTCTTCCCCCAAACATCCAGGGTAAGCCTCAGGTCACAACCTGCATGGAAGTGTCGATCAGGCACCTCTCTTACTGACTCTTGTGGCAGTTTAGCTAAGCAAAATCCACCAACTCACATCCTGCATGCTAGGTTCAGAAGCTTACTGAAGATGTCCGGTAGTCACATCCCAAGTTTTGCAAGCGTGCAGAACTAGGACGATAAGCATGCTCAGTAACAGCAAGAGAAGACTAAGTACTACCTACTCCTGCTTGTGTGCCATTTCTCACCAAAGGCGTTTCCTAATGAGATCATTCAAATCAATTACTGGTCCAAGGGAGCCCACGATTTGGCTGACAGTGGCATTAATTTTAATTTCTTCTCTGACATTCCTAGGCATTCTTTTACTCTTGTCCTTCATGGCAAAACATTAACAACTGTCCCCATGACACTGCTGTAGTTGTATTAGTTCTTATGTCATCCTGGATATATGTGTCTTAGTTACATTTTTCTTACTGCAACAGCTTTCCAACTTTCACATCCCTGCAACAGCACTATCATGATTAAAGAGGGGAATATATTATCTGATCATTATCATAATTTCTTAATCTTTCCCTGGTCTCATCTCCCCAGATTTCTCTGCATGCATTCCTTACATAACTTGCTACAGTAAATAGGAGCTTATGCTGAAGTTGTAATTACCTTCCATAGCTAATACAATTTTCCTAGAACACCACAGGTCTTGCATTTGCTAAAAAGTAGAAATTCCTCAAGTTAGTTAATGTTTTTATATAAAAATAAAGAATAATTGCACACAAGTTCTAGACTAATAATTCCTCTCGTACTTGAAACAAAAAACCCCAAAAAGCAAAAATTAGAAGCAAGACAAGATTGCTGGAGGTGAGGAGGAAGGTAAAGAAAATAACATGTATTTGGAGTTTCTTAACATACCGAGATATTTTTGTGAGACTTCTGGCAGATGTTTGCTCTCATTGTGAAGTTTCTCTCATGTAAAATAGTTTATTAAAAAGGACGGTGCACTGTTCCCAGCTTTTCACTGATGCTCTTGGCAAAGCACAAGCCAAACTAGGTATTGATCCATGGTGTGTAGCTCAAAAACCCTGCAGAGCTATGCAGGATGCAGAAACATTTTTCCAGAATGTGCCTCAGATGTCTTTGCTGCATGGCCCATTTATCCTCTCCTGAGGGAGTAGCGATCATTAATATGGAAACCAGATATTAAGCCAACATTCAAGCCACCGTCTCCTGGGGAAGTGGATTTACAAAGCTGCAGAGCTGTGGCAGGGTTTTTTTGCTATACAAAGATCAAGGATGAACACAGAATTCTTAACTTCAGCTCTTATCAAATGAAGTTTTCAGGAGGGCCTCCACAGTATGTAAGAAACGCTTACACAGTCACGTTCCACCTTCAAGCAGGGTCTGCATGGCCAGAGCTTACTGTACAGGCAAGTTACCCCTCCTGCTCTCAGCAGGTACCCTCGGTGAAATTTAACCTGCATCTTGCTTTGTAGGATAAAGTACTTCGTGAAGATTTGTGGTTATTTTCTGTCTTGCTTATCAGAATTAATTGCATTACCTTAATGCCTACAAGTGAAACTGTAGAAATCGTCATCTTCCATTTCAACCTTCCCCTGCAGGTGTTCCATTTCCACACTGTGTAACGGAGGGCAGGGTTTCCTCTGACTTGTTCACACCCCAAGCGTACCAGCTATTTAGAAAATTATGGTTTTGTTACATGTAAGTTTAATAAAGTTTTATAACACCAAAGGCTGCCGTTTAGGAAAGCTCTTTATTTCACAGAATTTCATCAGCACTGTTTGTTCAGAAGGGGGAAATCTATCCCACCAGTGTCCAAAGTGATCTTACCAACACCAGAACAGCAGGTCACTTTGCAGACTCAAGTATCATTAGCTCTGCCTTCTAATAACTTAATACCAGGATTTGCTGTGAGTAAACAGAGATTAAACCAGGCTCCTGTTATAAAGTCAGATGGTGAACTGCGAGCATCAGCTTACAGAAGGAGCAAGAGGATATAAAATTAGGTTTGAAGTACATCCCAGAGAAGTATCCAGAGCCAGCCAGTATATAGTAGTACATTTGCAGAGGTAACCCTGAAACTGCACCTGCATCCTGCAAGCAGTCCAGTACACTTCAAACACAAAGATTCAATCAAACAGGGTAACAGCAGATAACAACAGAAACACATTAAACACTCAGAGCTCATTTGAATAGTCCCAGAAGAGTAAAAATTGATACAATTATGTAAGTAACTGAGCAAACTACATTCTACAGAGAGAGAGGTGTAGTTTAGAATCACCTGAAGGAAGAGAATCAGTACCCATAAAAACAAACAAACAAAAACCCACACAAAGCACAACAGCTAAGGGGAAAAACAAAGACTCTAGAATAAGCTTCCAAAAGAAAATTGACTTTAAATGGTTAAAGCATTTTTGGTCCTGTTGCTTGAAAGAAATAATCCTAAACTACATTCTGAAATAGAAGGAATAGCTGCATTTATACAGATCATACTGTAAACTGAAAGAAAACTGCAAGATACCAAAAAATACTTTAAAATCACCAAACTGTTTAATTAACAGGAAGTACAAACAGTTGTTTTGGCACTGTACTTGAAGGAAAACCAGAGATACAGGTTCTACTACCACGCTGATGCCCATACACGACATCCTAGTTGAACTATCAAAATAAGAAGTTTGCAGTCTTAAATACAAGTGCAACAGGGAAGAGAGTCAGGTCAGAAGTCCTCACTAGCCATCCACCATTCTTTTAAGTACGGCCCCCAGGCCACCTTTTGCCACTTTCAGTGGGGTCAGTTCTTCTTTATTCTCAATGTCAATACTTGCACCGTGAGACACCAGCAGCTTTGCCTCCTCCACTCTCTCTTCATCGCAGGCTAAATGACTGCAATAAGAACAAGAAACCCACAGCCACTCTTACACAGTCCAACCTTATAAAGAGCAATAGTTATGCCTTGTCAAAATGACAGCGTCAGTGTTGCAGGAAGGGAGATACATCCTAGCACAACAAAACCACACACAAACAGCTGCCTACACAGACTCTAAAGCTTGCTGTCCAGTCACTCCATTGTCATTAAGCAACTCAAGAACGTTCCTCCTGCTACTGTCCTTGCAACATTAAGACACTTCTTTAGATCAGGATTTGGCTCTGCAGCCAGCAAAGCTAAGGAGCACATCACCCACTGCGAAATCGGAAAACAGTGATCTCTGAATTGAAAGTGATAAACTAAACTGTACGATGCTCAAAAAACATTCTGAAGTACAGAGTTACTGCAAATGCAGCAAATGCCTTTTTTTGATTTGGCACAGTATCTTGAGAATAAATGTGTGTGTTCCAGGACAATACTGGGGTTGATGTACATCTAAAACATACTGCTTGATCTTACGGCAAAATTTTGATTCCATTGTAGACAAGGCAGAGGTTTGCCACCAACTTCAAAGCAGCCAAGGTGTCACCCTTACAGATTCAAGTTGTTCTCTCAGGTAGTATCACACACTGGACTAACTGTACTTAAATTGCAACTTATTTTCCTTAGAGAGGTGAAGAAAAGCTTCCAATATTAGTTCTTGCTTGGCAGGACTGAGTAGGCCAGCCTGCAAGATCAGTTTCCTCCAACTTTGAGGTCATCAGCTCACTTTCTACCCTCTAGTGGCAACTGTGCATATTCCAAATTATTACAAAAGGTGGTAACAGTTTTTAAGTAGATACAGTAACAGACATTAAAGTATGTATGTGCAGACACACTCAGGCACAACACTAACTATGATTTTCTCAAATTCTTTCTAACTACACCAGGGTGTGAAGCCAGGAGTATTTTGAAGCAATGAGAAATTTAAAAAAATGCGATTGATGTACTGGAGTTTCATTTCATAGAGATTATGCCATATTAAGCAAAATAAAAATAAAAAATTACTTACAGAGGAGTGTTTCCTTCAGAGTCCTGTATATCAACAGATGCATTGTGCTGCAGAAGGATCTGTACCATTTTTAGGTTTCCTTTAGCTGCTGCTCTGTGTAATGGGGTGGATTTAAAATGATCTGTTGCATCCGGATCAGCTCTGTTCTCTAAAAGCATGACTGCAATCTGAATATGCAGAAAAAGAGAAGGGGAAGGGGGAGGAAGAAAAGTTAATATAACTAAATACTTCTTTTTCAAGAGCAACACCACCTCCAGTAGCATGGGTGAACATACCTCCTGCTTGTTTTTGGAGGCTGCATAATGCAGGGGTGTACAGCCGTTCTGATTGACAGCATTCACATGAGCACCCCTGGCAATGAGGGCTTTCACAATTTCATCACGGCCTGCCGAAGCAGCAATATGTAAGGGAGTCCAACCAGCCTAGAGAGGCAAGAAAAACCCCCACGTTACTCAAACCAGGTGTTTCAGGCAAAACACCACGACAAAGCACACCACCAACACAGACTAGGCTTCTCGTTAGTCACACTGCACAGTTTCTTACAACTGTAAAGCTAAACGTTATCAATTATCACCAGAGAGACAAGCCTCATGTTTCTCACAGGCCGGCATTCAGTTCCTGACAAAAGCTGCCAGTCAAACGACAGAAATCACTCCTGTAATGCAGTGATGTATGGTATCTTGCAAGCTACTTTATCCTCTGCAGAACTGACAGCAGTGCTCGTGTAGTAACAAGTAAGAGTGGCAGAAAAGGGTGTCCAAAAGTTTATGAAAAATTTTCTATATCTTACCCTCGAGTTAAACTGATGGGACAACATTTCCTTCTTTAAAGATGATCTTTAGGATGCTGTATGTAATTATTTCAACCCTTCCACTGGAAGGGAAACAGAACATCTCCTTTGCAACCAGAATCACCAAACCTGTCACTTGCTCTGTAATGCCTTCCCCAGTAACAAGAAATCTTCAGGGAATCTCAGGATTTGCTCAACATATTTAAGAGGATCACACCGAGATAAATATAACATGAAAACCCCCAATGACAATCCAAACACCCATGACTTTGCAACTTTGTTCTCCTCAAATTTCTTGGGAATAGGCACGACATCGAGTCTCACCACCCCATGAACAGTGAAACACCTGACCTTGCTTTTCTGGCACACACACAGCAGTACGAGCTTTTTACAGCCCCCCAGAAACCACACTGGACACACCAGCTGACGGGAGGAGGGAGGAAAGGAAGGAAGCGACCAGTGCCAGTCGCTGCCCATCGATGCTACGTGCACTTCAGCGGCTGAAGCACGACGGCCACGGGTCCGAACAGAACCTGCGCCACCAAGTGTGGCTACGCAAACCGGGTCGCAGCGCTTCCTCAGCCTCCCGGCAGCAGCCCCGCGCCCCAGGCCAGCCCCTCACAGGGGCGAGGGGGTCCCGGGAGGGCTACGACACTCACATCGTCCTTGTCGTTCACAGCCACGCCGAGGCCGAGGAGGAGGTCGGCGACATCCGTGTGTCCCGCCGAGCAGGCCCAGTGCAGCGCAGTCCGGTTGTCCTGAGGGAGAGGGAGGGAGCGGCGGTGAGCGGCGGCGGGAAAGGGGCAGGGGGACAGGGAGGCAGCTGACAG